GTATGATTAAAACATACCCCCCACTTTAATAGGCTTAACATGAATTATTTTGAATAAACAGAATTATTTTGAATAATTCTGCCACATCGTTGCCCATGCCTTTGTGGCTCTTGAAGATCAATTAACAAAAGTGTGGCCTATTGCCCCCCAGATTGGCTTATCCTAGGCCCACTCCTAAGACAGAGTGACAAGCAGTGCCTCAGACAGCAGATAGTGGGGTTGGGGATTTGGGAGAGCCAGCAAGGCACTAGAGGTCCCTGGGCCAGATGCCCACCCAGTAGTCCTGCCTTCAGAGAAAGGGCCTTGCTTTTATCAGCAATGTTAAGAAGATTAAGTTGGCTTCTGCATGAGGGCCTCTGGGGGGACATGTTGGAGATGTGGGGAGATGTAGCCCAGCACATTTGGAAGGCACCAAATTGGGGACAGCTAAGATAGCCTGAGGCTACAACCTGTACATCAGAAGCTGGATCAGACTATGGCCCACCAAGTCTGGTAGCCTGTTAATAGCAGGCATTTCTGGGAAGACCCAGAGCCGAATATAAAGGGAAGAGGACAAAGCTGCACAGTCCAAGGCCTTTTGGGGTATCTTCTAGAACCTTGCCAAAGTTACCACTGGATTGTAATTTTAATTATGGATTAATTAATGTAATTTTACTTCCAATTCCTTATTGGTTGATTACATGCCATCAAGTCATTGTTGACTCTTAGCAACCACATAGATTTTCTCCATGATGATCTGTCCCTAACCTGGTCCTTCAACAATTCCAATGGCGCCCCCATCATTAGTGTAACTGAGTCTTGCTGCTAGTTATCCTCGTCTCCTCTTTCCTTCCACCTTTCCCAGAATTAGAGCCTTTTCCAGAGAGCTGAGTCTTCACATAATGTGTCTGAAGTAGGATAATTTGAGCTTGGTCATTTGTTCCTCGAGTGAGAACTCTGGGTTGATTTGTTTGATGATCCATTTGTTTGTTTTCTTGACTGTCCATGGTATTCTCAGGAGTCTTCTCCAACACCAGAGTTCAAAGGCATCAATAATAATCCTATCCTGCTTCTTCAAAGCCCAACTTTTGCTTCCATAGAGTGTCATAGGGAACACCGTGGCTTGCACAATTCTGATCTTTGTAGGTACCATTTCCTTATAAACCACACTAAATCTAATTTTATCCTGGTCTGAGTTTCTTTTTGGAGTGTCAGTTGAGATCAAACATGGCTCTGCCAAAAAAAGTTGGATATTTCTGCCCAACAGTGAAACAGATTTGTTTTGTTAAGGGTTTTGGGAGTGGAGAGGGTGTTTGTTAGATTTTAGTTTATTCCGAAGAAAGTTTAGTTTATTTCCTCAAAAAAGAAAAAAAATGGCTTTGCCTGTCTCTAAAAAGAGACATTAGTAGGTACATGATCCCCCCTGGAGAAAGAATGCCAGAGATGGGGCCACCTGCCAGAAAATCTTGCTGCTATTCTCTACCTGCCTAAATCTGTTATTCTCATTTTGCAAATAACGATTGAGACTGAAACCACCAAATGCATCGCTGTGTATCTTCTGGTAGACTGTGATCTTTGTCAGAATCTGTAGTCTATTGCTCTACGTTTAGAGAAGGTAAGGAGGATAATGTGGCACCCTATCTAGGGCATGCTTTCCGCAGAACCATGGTCAGGATTGTGTTGGTTAGAAATGCGACTTGATATTAAATGGCTTCCCAGGGCTCAGAACAGATGAGAAGGTTTTTCTTAGGGGAAGTCTTGAATTGATTCTTCTGATCCTCTCTTTTTCTGGTTTCTAGTGCCACTACTCCATCCAAAAGGGAGCAGCTTTCTTGGGCATTGGCACAGATAATGTCTACCTTGTAGCAGTGGATGAAAAGTGAGTGTCAATAACTGGAAATCCTTACAAGGTTAGAGAAGACCAAAGATTCTGTCTTGATGTTATGAGTGGATTATTTAATCTAGGTTATCTCCCTAACCATACCCTACAACAGATACCAGAACCATTGTAGATTGCTTATCCCATTGTTGAACTGGTTTCCACCCCCACCCCCTGCCCAGTTTTTAGGAACCCTCGCCTGCAGTGATTGTGGTGATGAAAAATTACAATCCCTTAATCCAAGCTCTGGGTTTTCAGTTCCATGTCTCTACAATTCAGCTGTGGAACTGAGCCTGCTAAGAATATTTATTTATTCTAAATAAGTTCAGGTTTCTAGCCCTTAAGATTGTCGAGATTGTTTTCACGGCAACCTGTTCTATCTAACTGGTAGCACAATTAGTTAGGATCTAGTGAGAAGAACTAAGACTGAAGCAACACTTTGCATATGACCTTTCAATATGTGATAAAAGAAAGGCAGTATTAAGTAAGAGCACTTAAGCAGGTATATGAACCAGTCTTGGATCTGGCAACAGTTCTCATTCTTTATCGTTATTGGTTTGCATAAGTAGTAGAATCATATGGAAAGTTTTTTCTAGATCATATCATTTCAGTGGGCATGAAATGGATCTTGTTTTGAATGATTTCCTCTAGAGGAAAAATCTTCCTGTGCTAAAAAACCCTAATGCTTCACAGAAGGCTAATGTTGAACTCTCTCCTCTGGACTGCTGATTTGCAGTAGAGGTGGGTTCAAACCTGAGGCTTCTTTTATACCAGAGAGAAATACACAGCTTGATTCTGCTGCCTGCTTGGACTGGCTTGAAGTCAGAGTGGTTTAAGCGAGGAGGGCCTGATGAAAGGATTTTCATGGCTCAGTCACTGTTTTCTTCCTTAGAGGGAAAATGATCCCTGCTGATCTGGAGAAACAGATCAACGAGGCCAAATCAGAGGTATGTTGCCTGTGGGGGGTTTTGAGGGAGGTTACAATTTCTCCTTTGCTCCCACTAAAAGCACTGAGAGAAAACTTTCTCTCTCCACATCCAACCCAGTGATCCTGGTAAAAGAGACATGTGATGGGCATAGGGGCTTTGCAAACTCCACCTCTTTCTCTAAGGTATGCAGCAGGTGAAGAAACAGAGAGTGTCCTAATTCAACAGCATGTGCTTCTTTTACCAGATACCTAGTAGTAGTAGTAGTACTAGTAGTAGTAGTAGTAGTAGTAGTAATCTTTATTGTCATTGTACTTCT